AGTTGAATGCTCATTTGAGCATCTCCCTATAAATTTAGATCAGCTCATGGGGGGAGATCTCTGATGGGGGGCACAGTCTCTGATGGGGGTGCTGCTTCAGATTGAGTGCGGCTTCGAAAGAGTGTGAAGCAGTTAAACACAGCAGTTGAACTAAAGCAGGAGAACTTAAGCAGCAGGAAGACACCAACAATAAGAAACTCTACTGCACGCTGGACAGACTGCAAGCAAACACCCCGGGAAACATCTCTTACATGCCTGAGTCCCACTCTGTGTACCTTTATATAATACACCCCTCTTCTCCTCTTCATATTACTATCCTCTGTTCCCAAATCTCATTTCTTTACCCCTCTGCTCCACCCCAAAACTTGTACATCTCCCCCCTTATTGCTATCATCTCCCTACTACTGCTCTCATCACCCCCCCAAAATGCCTCTTCTACTCATCCTTCTCATTTTCCTCTCCTCCATTCCCAAAATCCATTCACTATATCCCTCTGCTCCTCCTAAACATTTGTATATTGTGTCCTCACTGCTTCCTTCGCCCCCCTCTACAGCACCCACCACCTCCTCCTATTATTCCACTCTCCCACTGACCCCAACACCTCCACTAGGAGTTTCTCACGCTCCTGCACATGCCGCTCCCATGCCACCTTTCTCACCCTTCTCCTCCTCCTAGCGCGGGGGACATCTCCCCAAATCCTGGCCCTCCACCACCTCCCTCACCCACACAACACCCTCCCCCTCCACGTCCTACCGCAACCCCCGTAACCTAGTATCTGTCCCCCTGCTCCCTAAAATCTCCCCCCCGTTTTCATGCACACTCCTGAACGCCCGATCGGTGTGCAACAAGCTTACCGCCATCAACGACCTCTTTGTTTCCCGCTCCCTCAACCTCCTAGCGATCACGGAAACCTGGATCCAGCCCACTGACTCTACCTCCCCTGCTGCACTCTCCTACGGAGGTCTCACCTGGACCCACTCACCCAGGCCCAACGGTCGTAAAGGTGGTGGGGTTGGTCTGCTCCTGTCACCGCAGAGCACCTTCTGAGTCCTCCCAAACCCCCCCTCCCTATCCTTCTCCTCCTTCGAGGCCCACTGCGTCCGACTATTCTCCCCAACCCCCCTGAAGATTGCTGTGATATACCGGCCTCCTGGATCCATACCACGCTTCCTGGATGACTTCTCCTCCTGGCTACCCTTCTTCCTCTCCTCTGAGCTACCCACAATCATTCTTGGGGATTTCAACATCCCTTCAACCTTGACAACCCGGACACATCCCGTCTCCTCCACTTAACTCCTCCTTTACACTTGCACAGTGCATACAATCCACCACCCACTCCAACGGTAATATCCTTGATCTTGTCTTCTCCAACCGCTGCGCTCCCCACAACCTCACTAACACCCCCTTCCCTCTCTCTGACCACAACCTGATTACCTTCTCTATCTCCTCGTCCTCCAACACCTACCCCTCCAAATGCCACACTACTACCAGCCGTAACCTCCGCAACCTTAACCCTGCCCCCTCCACTCTGCAGCTGATCAACTCCATGACCGCATCCTCCCCCTGTCCTGCCCCGACTTGGCTATGACTGCCTACAACAACGCGCTGTCAGCAGCCCTTGACTCACTAGCGCCTTTAACCACACGCAACATCAGACCCCGACCGCTCCAGCCCTGGCAGACTGATCACACCAAAACCCGCAAACGACACATTCGTGCCCTGGAGCGACTATGGCTCAAAACAAAAAATCCCAACAAGCCTTCACCCACTACAAATCTGCCTTCCGCACCTACACCTCCTCCCTCCACGCAGCCAAACAAGCCTACTTCCTGACCCTCATCAAGGCCCTCTCCTCCAATCCTCGCCGACTCTTCTCCACCTTCAACTCTCTACTCTCTCCACCTCCACCCAGCACCTCACTCACCACCCTTGAGATTGCCAATCACTTCAAAAACAAGATTGACACAATTCGCAAGGACATCGCCGCAACTCACACGCCCTCTCAACCCGTCCCCTCTCACACAGCTACCCCCTCATCCCCCCTCCCCCTCGACATTACCCGCAGGGACTTCGTCACTCCTCAAACTCCCTCTAACCCCGTTCCCCCTCACGCAGCTATCCCCTCATCACCCCTCTCCCACGGCCCCACCACTGCTCTGACCTCCACTTCCACCCCACCCTACATTCCTCATACTGAAGCTCCCCCAACACTCCACACCTTTGACCTTACTACCATCGAGGAAGTCTCCAAGATCCTCTCTGATGCCCGCCTCACCACCTGCCCCCTCGACCCTATCCCCTCACAACTCCTACGACCTCCCTCCCCCTCCATCCTACGCTCCCTCATCCACATCTTTAATCTCTCCCTCTCCTCCGGCATTTTCCTCTCCCCACTGAAGCATGCACACATCACCCCCATACTTAAAAAGCCCTCCCTGGACTCCAATGACCCGAACAACCTCAGACCCATCTCCCTGCTCCCATTTACATCTAAACTCCTCGAGCACCTCGTCTACACCCGCCTATGCTCTCACCTCAACGACAACAACCTCCTCGATCCCCTACAGTCCGGCTTCCGTCCCCTACACTCCACTGAAACTGCCTTACTCAAACTCTCCAACGACCTGCTAACCGCCAAAGCTAATGGCCACTATTCAGTGCTCCTACTCTTTGACCTCTCTGCGGCCTTCGACACAGTTGACCACCCCCTCCTCCTCAAAATACTACACTCCCTCAGCCTCAGAGATTCTGCTCTCTCCTGGCTCTCATCCTACCTGTCACAACGCTCTTTCAGCGTTACCTATAATGCTACCACCACCTCCCCTCACTCCCCCTCTCTGTTGGGGTCCCTCAAGGCTCTGTCCTTGGGCCCCTTCTCTTCTCCATCTACACACCTCCTCCCTTGGCCAACTCATACACTCTCACGGCTTCAACTACCACCTCTATGCCGACGACACACAAATCTATCTCTCAAACCCCCCACCTCACCCCCTCGGTCTCTACCCGAATCACACACCTACTGAGCGACATATCAGATTGGATGTCGCTCCACTTCCTTAAACTGAATCTCTCCAAAACCGAGCTTCTGGTCTTCCCCCCAGCCTGGACCCCACCCCCCATTGACTTCTCCATCACATCCAACAACGCCAATATCAAACCCGCCCTGCAGGCCAGAGTACTGGGTGTCATTCTGGACTCACACCTATCCTTCCAGCCCCAAGTCCAATCTTTAACAAACTCGTGCAGACTCCACCTCCGCAACATCGCCAAAATCCGCACGTTCCTAACCCCAGAAACCACTAAACAGTTCATCCACTCCCTCATCATATCACGACTAGACTACTGCAACTCCCTCCTCACTGGCCTGCCTCACCACAGGCTATCACCGCTTCAGTCCATCCTGAATACGGCTGCCAGACTCATTTACCTTTCCAACTGCTCCGTTTCCGCCACCCCCCTCTGCCAATCCCTCCACTGGCCTCCACTCAGTGACCTCCACCCCCCACTGCCAATCCCTCCACTGACCTCCATTCAGTGTCCTCCACCCCCCTCTGCCAATCCCTCCACTGGCTTCCGATTGCGCAACGGATCAAATTCAAAATCCTAACACTGACGTACAAAGCTGTCCACCATACTGCCCCGAACTACATCACTGACCTAATATCCAAGTACCGCCCAACACGCACACTCCGCTCCTCACAAGACCTCCTTCTCTCTAGTTCCCTGGTCTCCTCCTCCCATGCCCACCTCCAGGACTTCTCCAGGGTGTCACCCATCCTCTGGAACTCCCTTCCCCAAACCCATCAGATTATCACCTACTCTCCTCTCCTTTAGGCGCACCCTGAAAACCCATCTCTTCAGGGAAGCCTACCCCATCCCCTGCTAACCTGCCGACCTCCTCCACTCTTCCTACCACTCCATCCCCCACAGCTATCTCCTCCTGTACCACCATCCCCTCCCTCCTAGATTGTAAGCTCCAAAGAGCAGGGCCCTCAATCCCCTCATGTTTTGCATTGTATTGGTATTGTTCTGTCACATGTTCTGTCCCCCTTTGTAATGTACAGCGCTGAGCCAACTATTGGCGCTTTATAAATACTGTATAATAATAATAATAATCATTCCTTGTCTGCAGATCTAAAACTCATCAAAACCAGTTCAGGGACCAAACAAACCCAACAGAGTAAAGGGGCCCCGGACCTCAAAATTGTAGTAAACACTAAACAGTCCAAACAAAATGTCTTCCCATGGGGGGAGTAGATCTCAATGTCCAGCAACCCTCCTATTCCCCCCTCACATCCACATCCTATTATTGTGTGACCAATACCATCCAAATCATTCTTACTTTCATTTCCCAAAGTTATCCGTCTACAAGGAGACCTGTATAGATCACATGATGGCACCAATGAGGATGGAGGAGGACCGGAGTCACATGACTGAGAAGATACTAAACCTCACCCTGGAGATCATCTACCTGCTGACCGGAGAGGTGAGGAGGATTCTGGAGGTCACATGACATCACTCTTATCTCTATTAATAAAACACAGACCTGACCGGAGAGGTGAGGAGGATTCTGGGGAGGTCACATGACATCGCTCTTATCTCTATTAATAAAACACAGACCTGACCGGAGAGGTGAGGAGGATTCTGGGAGGTCACATGACATCGCTCTTATCTCTATTAATAATACACAGACCTGACCGGAGAGGTGAGGAGGATTCTGGGAGGTCACATGACATCACTCATCTCTATTAATAAAACAGACCTGACCGGAGAGGTGAGGAGGATTCTGGGAGGTCACATGACATCACTCTCATCTCTATTAATAAAACACAGACCTGACCGGAGAGGTGAGGAGGATTCTGGGAGGTCACATGACATCACTCTTATCTCTATTAATAAAACACAGACCTGACCGGAGAGGTGAGGAGGATTCTGGGATTCCAACATGATATTCCTATTGGTTCCTCAATACAGAGATTTCCTCTTCTGAAGTCAGGTGATCATATGACCATCACAGTGCCTCCATGTGACTCCCTAAACCCTGAGAGACACAACATGCAGAAGATTCTAGAAGTCACCAGAGAGATCACTGAGCTGCTGACAGGAGAGGTGAGCGGTGCCGGGAATTCTGGGACATTCTCCAGTAACAGACAAGGGATGTGTCTGGATGGTGACTGTATCATTGTGTGTGTCAGGTTCCTATAAGGTGTCAGGGTGTCACTGTCTATTTCTCCATGGAGGAGTGGGAGTATTTTAGAAGGACACAAGGATCTCTACAAGGACGTCATGATGGACAATCAGCCGCCCCTCACATCACCGGGTAAGAGGAGACTTTATTGTAAAGGAGAGAGCAGTACGGAGGATCCACCTAGATCCCCCATCATCTGATAAACACATAGAAACAATGGATTCAGTCAGTGTGTGTGTTTCCTACAGATGGATCCAGTCATGGGAACCCACCAGAGAGATGTCCCCGTCCTCTGTATTCCCGGGATTCCACACAGGAAGGTCACACCATCCCTCACCATCATCAGGTAGATGATGACAATTATTGGTAGTTGTGATTTATACACAGCATGTTTGTTACAATGAATGTTTTATTATATCTTTCAGAGTGGAATCCTCGGGGATGATAATATTGATGTTAAAGAAGAGTATAAAGAGGAGGATGAGGAGTATGGAGTGATGGGGGCGTTTTCAGAAGGACACAAGGATATGATGGAGCCACCTAATACCAGGAACCCCCCAGGGGGATGTCCCCGTCCTCTGTATTCCCGGGATTCCACACAGGAAGATCACACCATCCCTCACTATTGCAAGGTTGGTGAAATGGAGGGTCTAGAACATGGACTTGTAGAGATGATGTGTGGAATTTGTATGTGAGCTTTTTTTTTACAGATGATATTCTCTCTCATTTCCTTGATTTAGAGTGGAGATCCAATCGATATAGAATTTGAGGTGAAAGCAGAAGAAGAAGAGGCGTATGTGAGGGATGATCAGCAGTCTATGGAGGAGGATGGAATAACGGGGACATTTATAGAGGAGGACACTCCTACAGAGATCAGCACAGGTGGGTCATGAACACTAAATCCATTCCTCCACCCATACTGCTCACTGATTGGTCCAGAGTAGGGCGGGGACTGGGGTGATATCAGCCTGTAATCCCCTGGTCACTTTCCTGAGCTGTGTTCCCCGTCCTGTATTCCTGGATTTTCTCTCGGATAATCTTCCTTCTCTGTGCTGCAGACACAATTTATGTCTCTAGACTGGATTTATGGAGGTTCTGGGGTTCAGCTGGCAGCAAAATGTTCATTTTCACCATAAGTGTTACTAGACCTAGACACCTGGGGCTGTGTGCTTTGAGTCTTCTTCCCCATGCCCTGGTCTAGTAAGATCTCTGACAGAACATTTCTCCCAGGGTTCCTTGCTCTGTTATCTGCTGGCTGTGCCGGGTGGAGGGATATGTCTGTAGTGTCTCAGACCCAAGTCACTGAGTGCAGTCTCAGGAGATGGGAGGCAGCGGTGTGGGATCTCTGCAACTTGTCTACAGTAAACATTTAATGTTCTACTGATCACTGAATACCAATATTATGAGTCCTGACCCTTACACTCTATCATTTATATTGTACATTACATCCTCCTGACCCCTGCACTATATACTCTATGTTGTACATTACATACTCCTGACCCCTGCACTATATACTCTATGTTGTACATTACATCCTCCTGACCCCTGCACTATATACTCTATGTTGTACATTACATCCTCCTGACCCCTGCACTATATACTCCATGTTGTACAGTACATCCTCCTGACCCCTGCACTATATACTCTATGTTGTACGTTACATACTCCTGACCCCTGCACTATATACTCTATGTTGTACATTACATACTCCTGACCCCTGCACTATATACTCTATGTTGTACATTACATACTCCTGACCCCTGCACTATATACTCTGTGTTGTACATTACATAGTCCTGACTTTTGCTCCCCCCCTCCCCCCACTGCTATATATACACATAATATGGATTCTCTTTTGTTACACCCATTTCCTCCCAGCTGGACATTTTATATCGGATGATGTGATTGGAGCACAGACTTTTACATGGTGATAAAAATGTGATAACATCCTCCTACTTTGGACCCTTAAACAGAAAGTGATAATGAGGGAGGAGTCAATACCCCCAATGATGGTGGTCTTCAGGATCAGTCCAGTCTTCATCTTGGTTGTTCTCCCCCCATCCTCACTCTCTGACCTCTGGTGGGGCTCAGCCCCGCTGTTCTTCATGACTAAAATCATGGACTAAATAAGGAAGTGCAGTACTTCTTGTGTTGGGAAGATGGTGATGAGTGATAGAGGGGGTGGGGACCCTCGTCCTATAATCCCCTCATCACTGTCCCTCCTATAAAAGACAGTTCTGGTTGTTTCCTCACTCTCTGACTAAGGTCCAAGAATAAAGAAATGACCTGGTAGGAGATCAGAGGAGCCATTTCCTAGTTCCCTTGAGGGTGGAATTGTAAGCTCCTCAGAGACCAAGCTGCCTGATGTGGGCGGAGTCCTGGTTTGGAGGAACCAATCAGCTCCTGTCTAGTAATCCTCTTTGTCTTTGTATTGTAGTCCCTGGCCGGGAGATGAGGAAAACCTCCGAGGATTGTCTCACTTTGTCTCCAGACTGGAAAGTAGAAGATGAGGACATCACACAGTATAGTCCAGGAGAAAACCCGGCTCCCTCCAATGTCCATCCGGCACCACCTAGTGTAGATGGACCATCGGATTCCTTGTATCCTGAGGAACCTCAGACTGTGCGGGACCGGGCCGGCCTTCCAACAGGGAAGAGGTTCTCCTGTACTGAGTGCGGGAAGGGTTTCCAATCTACATACCAACTTAATGTTCATAAAAGATCTCACACGGGGGAGAAGCCATATTCCTGTCCTGAGTGTGGGAAATGTTTCAGTTCTAAATCCCATCTTAATGTGCATAAAAGATCTCACATGGAGGAGAAGCCGTATTCCTGTCCTGAGTGTGGGAAATCTTTTTCAGTGAAGTCCAATCTTTACAAACATCAGAGATCTCACACAGGGGGGGGGGGGGGGGGGGGGGGGGGGGTGGGGGGGGGAGGGGGGAAGCCGTATTCCTGTCTAGAGTGCGGGAAATGTTTTTCAGAGAAGTCCAATCTTTACACACATCAGAGATCTCTCACACGGGGGAAAAAGCCATATTCCTGTCCTGAGTGTGGGAAATGTTTCAGTTCTAAATCCCATCTTAATGTGCATAAAAGATCTCACATGGAGGAGAAGCCGTATTCCTGTCCTGAGTGTGGGAAATCTTTTTCAGTGAAGTCCAATCTTTACAAACATCAGAGATCTCACACAGGGGAGAAGCCGTATTCCTGTCTAGAGTGCGGGAAATGTTTTTCAGAGAAGTCCAATCTTTACACACATCATGAGATCTCACACGGGGGAGAAGCCATATTCCTGTCCTGAGTGCGGGAAATGTTTTTGGTTCTAAATCCTATTTTAATGTGCATAAAAGATCTCACATGGAGGAGAAGCCGTATTCCTGTCCTGAGTGTGGGAAATCTTTTTCAGTGAAGTCCAATCTTTACATACATCAGAGATCTCACACAGGGGAGAAGCCGTATTCCTGTCTAGAGTGCGGGGAAATGTTTTTCAGAGAAGTCCAATCTTTACACACATCAGAGATCTCACACGGGGGAGAAGCCATATTCCTGTCCTGAGTGCGGGGAAATGTTTCAGTTCTAAATCCTATTTTAATGTGCATAAAAGATCTCACATGGAGGAGAAGCCGTATTCCTGTCCTGAGTGTGGGAAATGTTTTACAAGGAAGTTTAATCTTCACAAACATCAGAGATCTCACACGGGGCAGAAGTCACTTTCCTGTCCTGAGTGAGGGAATTGTTCCTCTCTGAAGTCCTGTCTTCCTGTACATCAGGGGTCCCACACAACCCTGGAGGTGTATTAGTGCCTTGAGTGCGGGAAATGTCTTCTAGATGAATGTTGCTGGACATCCCAGCTCTCATGTGGGGAAGAAGCACACCCTGATATACACCTCAGATATACTCCATGGCTGATCTTCATCATGGAAGAAAACAGTTGATAAGGAGATGAGAGGCCCCCAAAGACATGGATGAAGTGCAGTAAATGTCGGGGTGCAGAGTGGTCAGTAGATCCTGGAAATGAAGGACACAACTTCAGCCCTTCTTGGGGTGTCGGAGTTGCGTTTCCTGATAATGATATAGCGGGTTACAGAGCTAGAAGCCGGGAGAGCCCAGATCTCGTTATCGGGGAACTTTACACAGACAACAAGAACTTCTGAAGTTGATGTCCTTCATTTCAAGGCTCTACAGACCAGTGGTGACCCCGAAGCGTCTCTCTGTCTTCAGTCCATCCTTCTCCATCCCCCCAACAGGAGGGAAGGAGAACTCCGCCCCAAACTAGGGGGGGAACTTTCCTCTCATTATTTCCCTTGGCTTCTGTGTGGGTTTGGGTGGTTGGAGGAGTGCGGCACGAGAGGGAACACAGCTTGTTGTTCTATGTTCTACATATGGGGTCTGGGTAGAGGGGATCCACCGGAAAATATTTCTACTCTTTGATTTTGTGCAAATCGTTTCTGTTTTCACTTTGAAGGGCGATAAATATGTGTGGTTTGTAAAAGGGATTGGCCCAATAGATACCACCCCACTTAGAGAATAGATGAACTAATATGACCAGCATTCATTCTGCCATGTCACATGTTGGGATCTTTTCTACAATACTTTGTTATAATAATGGAACACGTTATGTATTGTATTTGTACACCAATAATAATGACTCCGCCCCCACATTCCAGACAAGGGATCTTCCTGACCAATCGGATTCCTTCCTTTGTTATTTCCTGATTCTATGATTACAATCTTGTTAGAAGTAAAACTATAATAAAGAATTTATTGAGTGAAAAGAATTGTGTGTGTCGGGGCCATGATGGGGATCTTTGGGGGCCAAACATTTCTCACAGGAGACACTTCACAAGCCTTTACAGGTCATCCAGTTTCTGGTTCACCATGAATAATGGCCCAGAGTGCTGGGGTCAGGAGACTACTTCATACAGCCCTGCAAACAACGTGCAGTGGTCAGGAGTTACACCCCAGAGTACAGAGTGCAGTGGTCGGGGAGTATGTGATTTCCATCCCAGAGTACAGAGTGTAGTGGTCAGGAGTATGTGATTTCCATCCCAGAGTACAGAGTGCAGTGGTCAGGAGTAATATGTTTTTAAACAATATAATTTTTTTAACACTAAAAGTACAAAAAAAACGCAGTGCAATACAAAAACCCTAATACAAATGCAAACAAACCAAAACCCCAAACCCCCCCACAGAAAACAGTATTTTACAAGCAAGCGCCCTCAAAGGGAAAGGGCCCGGGCAATATCAAATTTGGGGAGGGGAGGTAAGGGGGGGCAAGCGGAAAAAGATCGGGGTCACAAAGGGCCCGGGTTCAGCAAATAGCAAGCAGCATAGTACAAGGGCAGAAAAAGGGATGGTTCCCCCGGGGCACCCAACCAGGGGTCAGAAAAGGTAGCAACAGCGGTA